TATTTGTGGTCCAAAGCATTCCATAGCTCCTTAGCCGTAGCTAATTTGCTACACACGTCGTACAAAGCATCATGCAGTCCGTTCAACACGTAGTTTCGGCATAGGAAGTCAGAATGCTTCCAAGCTTCAACCGCGTTGAAAGATTGTGCATCCACCTCACCCCAGTTACTACCGGCGCATCTTCAGTCAAGAAACGTGCAAGACCGAGAGTGTGAGATAGAAGAGCATCTTTTGCTGCCACCTCTTGAAGTTTAACCCATTAAATTTTTCGGGGTTCTCCACAGAGTTGCTTGGCACGGTAACCATAGGGATAGCCCTTTGGTTAACCAAAGAAGATGCACCGCGTTGTGAACTATTGTTCACCGGAGCACCGCTTTCAGAGTGATTATCGTTCAAACCGTTCAAAACATTCTGCCCAACAACATTTTCATTTTCTTGAGAAGTCATTTTTCGTTTCTTACGTTCTTCGGAAACACAAAAAACAGATTCGTTCACGAAGGTGACAAACTACAAGTTTAAGATTGTTTACCGTAGTAAAACAATCACCGAATACGTTTTAAGATTGTAGGGTGTGTTTCGGAAAATAAAGGAAATTAATTAAAATTAATTAAATAAAATGACTTAAAGAAAAACAAGAAATGAGATGAAGCAGAATAAGCCAAAGCTCGTGCCACGCACGATTTCCTTAAAACGTATTCGTTGCCTCCCGGGGTGCTAGGAGCGTTGCAACGATCGTTTCCCAGGATACGATGGCTTCGAACAATAGTTTAGCACTATGGTTCCAACGAACGAGAACAAAGCTGTGTAGTGTCTGTTTTGCAGAGCCTCTACCAGCCTTTTATAGGGGTGGATTATGGTGTGTTAATGGCTGTTTAAGGCATATGAACGTTGGACATCAATGCCCAACGTTTGGTGTGCATTAAGTCCATGAACGTTGGAACGTAACGGAAGAACAAAAATTAACGTTATCTGTAGAAGATAGGATTTTCGGACGGCATTCGTGTCCGCAGGTTGCCCGCACGCAAGTCGCGCTTTTTGTTCTTTGGTTTCGGGATTTGATTCGCACCCACCCCTGCGCGCGTGAGAGAGCCTTTCCCTTTAGAAAGCTTAACTCCTTGGGGGGGGGGGGGGGGGGTTCCCTTTATAAAGGGTTTAAATTCCCTTTTGATTTTTGGTGTGGGAAAAACCCACACTAAAACCCACCTTTTCCTAGTTTTCTCCATTCCAACGGGTAAACTTCGAAAAGTGATTTTTCATTCACCCGTTATCCGTTTTGAGCGTACCATATATCGAATTGTAGCCCTAAGCAAGGACAATCCGAAACCACTTTGACCCGACCCAAATCGGAAGTGGACCCCACTCAAAAAATTGCCCCAAAATGACCATTTAATGCAATTTTAACACACTTTTTCCAACAATTGATGAGTCTAAACTTGTAAACCACTTAGGGTTGCCTTCAACATTAACTATGGGGGGAATGATACTTCTTCGAGGGTTGAAATTGAGGAAGAAGTGGGGATTCAGGCAGAGCATCACAGTGAGTGTGAAGACACACATGAAGAAGAAAAAGATAATGAGGTAGCACCAATTCAAATGGAGAATGTGAAGAGCATGAAGGAGACATACCATATGATGATGATCAGGCTTCCTTAGAGGGTGAAGAAGATTTATATTCAACATGAAGCACGTTGGGCAATTAAAAGACACTCTGAAATACTGCCAGTACCATTTTGAGCCTCTTATACATCAAGTGATAACCTCTTTTAACATAACCAGACTACGTTCAAACTGCCAAGGCCCTCCATCAAGCACACGCTTCATATCAAAACGATGATTAAATGAAAACAGATATCTTTTTTTCTCCAATTTCTTTCACCGACATACCTTTCCCCGACCTCCATAGCGTAAGCAACGTTTCTTTGAGATCCGTAAATTTGACCTTACAATCGGTCAGCACTTGACCAATCACCGGAAAACCACTCGCCACTTCCTCCGCCAGACTGCCTTCAATCTCTCCTTCATCAAGATTCAGTTCCTCTTCTTCATCGCCGATCGCCATCTGCTTGTAACGATCAATAACACTCTTCATAAATCTTCTGTTGACCTCCGCCGTAGTCCCTGTTACTACTATGTCGATCGGCTCTGCTCTAGCAATCAATCGGTAATAGCTGACGTCTTCACACCTCCTCCTAAGCACTGAACTTCTGGTTATAAAAACCAAACCCACCGCCTAAGCCACCAATCCTAGTCTTCCAACCAGCCCTGCACACCACCGCCCAATCCAACCAATAAAACTCGCCCTTCGATAGGATCGAAGGCGGGCAAACCAAACCTAAGGGTTATCGGCCAATAACCCTAGTAGAGAGAGAAATCTACTATGCACACCTCTTTTTATCCAATTATTGGACCGATTTATCCTTCTTGCTCACGAAACTCACGCACTGCACTAACCATAATGCTAAAGTTAAATGTTAACATTTTATTAATTATTAATCTAAAAAGCAATTGACTCAATGACTCAACTATTTAAAAAGTTGAGTTTACGATTAAAAAAATAGTTGAGTGTATTGATACATTTTATTAACACATTTGAAATCCCAACATTTTATTAATAAATCCTACCCTTTTATTAATTTAAAAAGCAATACATTCAACTATTCACATCATTGACTGGACAAAAAAATTTTAATTCATAATGAATGAATTTCTCTATATATCCTATATTTTAGAATGTTAGATTGATATGATATATCTTTACTTGTCTAAAGTTTTGTAATATTAATTACAAAAAAGTAAATTTTTAACATGATTAAATTTACAGTGTAATGGGTATTTTCACTTCAACTCCATTTAGTGTCATATCAGACTACAATTACGACGATGGTGTTACATGATGAGAAACACCACTTCTTCATTGAATTAAACCATTTAAAGAATGTCGTAGTGTTATAAGAAAATTCATTGGAATTGTATTGTTTTTTTACTCCAGGGGGGTCTGGGGGAGGGGGTCTGGGGAGAACCTGGAGTAATCAGGGGATTGAGTTTCAGACCCTTATGTGCCTAGTGGGATTCGAACTCGAGACCTCCCACTAGGCACGACAATCTCGCAAGCAGCTGAGATAGAATGTTTGGTTCATTGGAATTGTATTGGTTGATTGATATATATATTATAAATACATAAATGTTTTGTTTTTAATTTTGTACAATTCTATATTGAATTATGTATTTATATATTTGAATAAGTAACATTTTTAATTCTAGTAAACTAATTATATTATTGATATTTTATTGTTTGACTAATTTCCAAGGTGGAGGGTCCCACCTTGTAAAACTCGATTGACACCATGCTGATTCCGTATTACGACCATATATGTCACCTGACTAGATTTAGGATGTGAATGATATTTATAATATTTTTAATTAAAATGATTTCTCATGCAAAAGATGACTATTGAAGCTGTTTCTTATACAACTCTTTCTTTATCTTGGATTTTCCCACAATTTAACAGATTTATTAAATTTAGTCACTTCAATCAGTATGCTTAGGATGTTTTCTTTTGAATTGTTTTCAGTCCCAGACTTGAACAAACTTTCATAGTTATAAAATACACAGAGATCATACATTTACTAAACCAAACCAGCTCAGATCAGTCCAGACCAACAAATTTCTGTTCAAGAGAAAACATCTTTACTAAACAAGTGAGACTACACAAAAATTTAAAACTTTCTTAAACTTTTTAGATTTAATTTAAAAAAGTATTATTTTTAGTGTAATTTATTTTTATAAAGATCGAGTCATCATAAATGTAAAACTTATAATTTTTTTAAAATTTAATGGGGGTTTGTGATCACGTGTGAAGTTATATTGTTAAGGAACAAATTTAGGGAGTGTTTGCAACAGCTTCTGCTTTAAAAAAAGTGCTTTTTTAAATGAAATGAGGAGAAGTGATTAATTGTAAAAGTTGTTAGTGTTTGGGAAAGAAGTGATTATATAAAAAGTGTTGAAATTGGAGTGTTTGATAAAAAAGTGATTTTTGATGTATGTTTTTATGAATGTACTAAAATGCCCCCTCTCTCTTTAAACCTTTGTAACTTCCCAGCGAAAACCTTCGTTCTTTCCTTTCATCCTTGGCCGCACGCAGCTATCTCCCCAGCGATAATGTCTACTCCAAGACGAGGTTGGCTAGGGTTGGGAAAAAATTGCATCTTGCTTCAATGATTTTCGTCTCGATTAAACATCGGCCAGTTATCTTTGCACCTTGTTTTTGCCGTAACTAGCTTGGATTTTTCCGATTAAACCATTTTCGTAACATCTTGCTTCAATGTTTTCCATTTTCCATTAAACCATCTTCGCATCTTGCTTCAATTGTTCTGCGTTAATAATTAGGGTCTATGGGTTTTCCAAACCAGAATTCGTTAGGGGTGGGGAGCTTCATTTGTCGAGCAGGGAGAGAGGTGTGTGATACCTCCGTATGCGAACGATGTTTCAAGGAAAGAAGAATAAAGATAAGGGCATTAATGGGATACAACAAATATTAACAATATAAATGCCCCCAACTTCTCAAGAATTACCAAATTACCAAGTTAAATTCTGCTTTCTGGCTTCTGCCTTCTGGCTTCTGCGAACGGAAAAGCAGTGAGATGCAAACACTTATTTTGGCTTTTGCTTCCAAAAAAGCCGAAAAGTGATTTTCAGAATGTGTTGCAAACCAGCCTTTAATACGGAGTAAAATAATTGAAAAGGATATACTCCATCCGTCCCCTTTTAAATGTCTCATTTTACTATATTGAGATGTCCCTATTTAATTGTCTAATACCTTATTTGGTAAAGTTTGTGTGACCCAAAATCATTTTACTTTATTATTACTTTATCAATTAATATCAACCATATAAACTCACTTTTCTTAAAATTCGTGTCACCCTTTTCACGGACATTTAAAAGAGGAAAGAGGAAGTAATAATAGTCTATCAAGGATTACCTAGAGTAGGAAGGAAGGTGCGCCTAGCAACACCCTTTGAATATCTTCTCAAAAAAAAAAACCTCATTTGTATACTCTGAAATTAAACAACCTACCGCGAGCATTACAACTCAAAACCCTAGCTGCGCTGCATGTAGAGTAGTGCGCACGGAAGAGAAGCCAAATATGGATTCTTCAAAATCACCATCCGTTCCTCGCCTTTCCGATCGGTATTTTTTTATTCAACCCTTTCCCTACTATCTTCTTTTTCCTTCGAGGGTTCGATTGTTTTCTGCATCATATTTTTGCAGAGGTTGTTTAAATTTCGAGGGTGGCCAAACCAAACTCATATCTTATTCTTCTCCTTCTTAACTCATCATATATTTAAATTTTTATCGTATTTATCCGGATGTCGTTTTTTCTTATCTAGAAGTTTTAGGTTGTTTTCAAGTATGTAGTTTTGAATGATTAACAGTAGTAATATAAATATAAAAAGACCATTAGGATCTTACTTGAAAAGAAAACCTTAATATGAAACCACGGGAGTACTATCCTTTTAGCCTTTTGAGATATTGTGTTTGCTCTCTTTATGATTGTTCAATGATTCTAAGATGTAAAAAATCAGAGCTCTTTATGAATTCGTTTGGGGCTTTTTAGTTTGGTGTTTTGTTTGGTTATAGAGTGGACGATGCTGACTGCCTTATTGATTCCATCCTTGATGAGTAAGTCTTATGGAATTAGTTTTTATATCATCGTAATGAATATTACATGTTTGTTTGGTCCAGGTTAGATTAATTGGTGAACAGAGAGTCAAACACATTTTTTGGGGTTATATATGTACGACTGTACGTGTGTATGTCTACTCATATACTTCTACACATACAAACTAAGTAGCACCGGGACTGAAATGAAACTGAAAAATGTGGGAGTGGAAGTGAAGACAGGGAACTCTAATCTCAAAATATTAAGATCAAAATTTTATGAGGCCATGTTTATGTGGGTACGGGCCTACTGCACAGAACGTCGAACTAAAAATTAAAATTTTACTAATAAAAACAAACAACCATTATATGAGGTAATGAGGTTATGTTTATGTCCAATAAATGCGAAATAAATAAACCAAAGTGCCGATACCGGTTGCCACCTAGGAAGAGCGGACTCTGTGGCTGCAATTAAATCTGGACTTGAGACTGCCGAAGTGCCAATACAAGCCTCTTTGCTTGCGTCTGGCATTATGCTGCAAGTCCCATGCTCCTGGTCGGACTAGGTCTTCCTTCGCCCAAGGTTATTTCGCTCGAAATCCAATCTCAGATAGGAAGGGGTCTAGGAGATCGTAACTCGAGGATCGCAAGATCCTAGAAGCTAAGCTACCATGCCAGTTTTCAAAAATTAATAACATAATGCCAGTTTTCATTTTCAATTATATAAAGTAAAACATTTAATATAACAAGCATAAGGTTTATTTAAGGCAGAGAGGATGAAATAAATTATCGGTAAACAGAGAGGGTCGAAGAGAAGACTTGAAAGCCGTATAAGATTGTACGGAGAAGGGACAAAGATTGTACTGAAGAAGGCGACACCCCCAGGCTTGCTTTTATAGAAGAACTGAAGAAGGTGACACTGAAGAAGGTGTCGCTGTTAGACATATGGTGCAAAGGCCTAGTCAGTATTTTAATAAAGTATATAAGAGGAGAAATAAGGGGCCTGGGGTCAACTTGTTAATTATTTTTATCTGTTTGTTCCAACGTTTGCAATTGCGCAATGCAATAGCGCCTCATGGCGCGCCTTGGCTATTTCCGTAGGTAAGGCGTAAAATTGCATTGCATATTGCGAGCAGGTCTGTAGCGTACATTTATTGCGTTGAGGCATACACAATTTAACTTACGCAATGAGGCGTAAGTATGGCGTATGTTATTTTGTTTGATGGGTCTTGTTTTTTTTTGTCTGCCGGGCCCAGTTTTTAAGTTAAATAGACCGACATAGGGTACAGGGTATATTACATATACGGAGTATGTAGTAGTATATATGTGGCCATCTTCCCATCTATTCTCTGCAAAATCACAATTGATACGCAATAAGCAAATAACTAGTTCTTTCCTCCCCCTGCTCTCTGTTTGGTCGCTTCTTCCGCCTTCACTGTTGGTGAAACCTCTTGGACAGTTCTACAGTACTGCTTCTCTCTTAATGATTTTCTTTTGGTTATGTTTTCAACTTTCGACATACCAATACATTCTTTCAGTCATTATATTTTCAGTTATTATATTTAATGATAACTTCAACTTTGTAGTGTTTTCTATTTGATGCTTGGTTTTTGTTTCTATTCAATTAAACACTAAATATTAATTTTATTTTTCTGCCTATTAACATTTTGTTATAATCCTTCGATTAAGTTTCAACTTATCAATATGTTTTTTGATTTTTCAGTTATTAAATTTAATGATAACTTCAACTTTGATGTAATATTAATATTAAATTTTCTGTTTAGTTTAATGTTAAATTAGTAGCGGTTAAGTCTCTGCATTTTTTCCCGGTTAAGTATCTGCATATTTTCTGTTTAGTATTTTGGTTTTCGTATTTGATGTTAACTCACCTTTAAATCATTGTTAATAATTAATATTAGTATTTAGTGTTGTACAGTTGTACTTAAGGTAAAAGTAAATGATAGTTTTAATTTTCTATTAAATTAGTTTTCTATTAATATTCAACTATTCCAGTTTACATCACATATACGCTAGATATATATTAATATTATGCTAATATATCATTTTTGTTATTTTCTTTCGCCATAGATAGGTTTTTTGGTGCGGTACTATCATGACTAAATCGAATAAAAATGATCCTGCGTGGAAACATGGTGACGAAATTGAACGAGAAGGGTTAAAGGGCAAATCTTATAAATATGTAAAATGTAGATATTGCCTAAGATTGTTACAACATTATGATTTGTTTTAATATTGCATTTGCTGGTTTCTCTTGAATAATGTTTTTGTTATATACTACCTCCGTTCTCTTTTAGTTGCGATGTTGGACTTTTTGCATTATTCACATATTCTACTTTGACTACATTTTATTAATTGATGTATTATAAATTAAATTTTTAAAAAATATTTTTAAATTCTTCTCATTCTACATTTTCAAAATATGAATTTTTTAAATTTTTTACTAATACGGAATGAAAGATATTAATGGTCAAACTTGTGCGTTGGCAAACGTGAAATGTTGACTGTTGCAATTAAAAAGGAACGGAGGAAGTATATATTTATAATATAAATATAATTATATATATATACACATATTTTTGCCTTAGCTATACGCCTCATTGCGCAATGAGGCTTACGCAATATGCAATTCTAAAAAACCGCCATAGTTACGCAATACGCAATTTCGAACATTGGTTTGTTCCCTGCGTGGACTTTTTACTATAAATAGAAGTGGGTTAGCTAAATAAAGGAGGCTGTTTTTTTTTTTTTCTGTTGGCTGTAGACATGGAGATTGGGCATCTCGAATGGTCCTGGAGCATTGTATCCCTTTGGTGATCTGTTTTATTTTCTCAATAAAGTTCTCAATCTGTTCTCTCATTTTTTTGATTGATTTCTATACTGTGTAAGCTTGTGATTATCAGTGTTCTATCATTGGTATCGGAGCACTCGCTCCTGGTGATCGGTTCTGTTGCGCGACATCCAAAACGCTCTCGTTTCAGTGTTGAATGGTTAGAACGAGGGCGAAAATGGAGTTTCGTGTGGATACTTTGGAGTGAAACCTGGCGGAGATGCGGGAGATGCAAGAGCGGAAACTGTTGGGGGTACAGGAAGATTTACGATCAGCGTTCAATGATCAGCGTACAAAAATGGAAAATTTGGCGGCAAACTTGGCCGCTATGAATGAACAGCTTCGGTTCAGGGATAGATCGCGATCTCAAACTCCGCATCATATGCGATCATCTCATAGTCCGACGACCTCTGGAGGTAATCCAATTCAATCACACATCCCAATTCCACATCACAGAAGGCAGGAGGATATTAATAGATTTCCCGTACATACGGGTCGAAAAATTGATCTACCTGGGTTTAATGGGGAAGATTAATGAGAATGGAGCGATATGAAGATGACCAGGTGGAAGCAAGCAGCAGTAGTAGCTATGGAGGGTAGGGATATCAATTGGTTTATATGGTGGGAACACCAAACTGAAAGGAAGAATCGGGAGAATCTGAAAGCATCTGTCATACGCAGGTTTCAGCCAGATCTAATTCCAAATCCATATGTACCAATGTTGAGTTTCAAGCAGACTCGCACCCTCGCACCCTGAAAGAGTTCAGGGATGAGTTTGAAATGGTGATAGCTCCTCAAATTAATGTGGATATGGAGATTCTGAGAGGAATTTTCCTTAATGGCTTGAAGGATGAGATTAAAGCTGAACTAAAGTTACATAACTCCGGTTCATTGAATGATATTATGGACAGGGCTCTCTTGATTGAAAGCAGAAATGAAGCTATATATCTGAGGAGTAAAGGTGAAGAGAAAATTGCTGGGAGAGATAAGGGACCTATGAATTATAAACCTGCAGTTTGGGGAGAAGGATACAAGCCCAAGTCAGGTAGTTCATGGCTTAGTACAAGTGGGAAGAATGTTGCAGACAATAAAAGAAATCCACATTGGTACAATCATATGGGGAAGAAGGTGAGAGAAATTAATCCCTCTGGGATAAGGCGTGTGGGACCTCAACTCTCTCAGGAGGAATATCAAGATTAGAGCAGAAGAGGTATTTGTTTCAAATGTGGGGAGAAATGGAACAAAGAGCATACCTGTAAGTTGAAGAATTACAAGCTCATATTGGTAGAGGATTCTGAAGAGGAAGAAGACTTGAAAGAAGAAGAACCTGTAAATGCAGAAGCAGAAGAGATTAACATGGAGTCCAAATCCATGCATTCTGTGGGATGAGCATGCTACCAGTGCTTTTGAAGACCTTAAAAGGACCATGACTACTCTGCCAGTGTTAGCAGCACCAGGTTTCAATAAATTATTCATTGTTGAATCTGATGCATCTGGGACAGGTCTGTGTGTGTTACTGGTTCTAAGTGTGAGACGATGTCTGCGTCCACATTCACTTCGCTTTTGTGTGTGTGGTTTGAGAGGACGCATTGTGGCATTGTTTCCCCCCCACTAATTAGCCCTATAGGTGTCGATTAGGACTTTCTAGGCATAACAACTATAGTTATTAGTCTTACATTCT